GTTCCTTTCCTTCACCTAGAAGCCTTACATGGTGGAAAAACAGACCTAACGGAGGTCTATTCAAAGCAAATAAATAGGCTTCATTACATCCAGATTTCAGTGGCTCATGTACTGAAGCTCTTCCAACAGCAGGAGCCTCAGGGATGACCTAAATCGAGCCCCGACCGCGAGGCGCATGTCAGCTTCCAGGGGTTTTGGTGCTTCTTTTTTTGGATGCCCCGCAGAGGCCAGTCAGCTTCAGCCAAGAAAGCGTCGCACCTCAGGGAAAAGGACGGCTTTAAACAAACCTAAGTTCCTTAAGATAAACCCCCGGTGGAGGCCGCTGCCCTGCCAGGGAGCCGGGAGCTGCAGATGGGATTAAGGGCCAGCAGGCGAGCGACCGCACGTTCCTGTATAAGGTGCTTTAGCCTTAATCGGAGGAGAAACACTTGCTCTTTTGTTGACGCGGCTCCATGTGCAACGGAGGGCTTACTGTCAGTCCAGGGTGGTGCAATCTGCGGCTCGTAAAAAGACCTTCAGTTCTGCTTGGGGCCCTCTTTAAGTGCAGAAAGCCTGGAGGCCTAGAGAAAACAACTGAACCAGGAAAGCTCCTGTGGGGTAAGAATGCCCCACTCTGTCACATACTCACAGAGCTGTACAAGAGCAGACCTCCACAGCACAGGAAGAGACATGAACAACCGAGCCTCTTTGTACCTAGACCCTAAAAGACACACTCTAGGCACTCTTAATCCCCGCTCTGTAAGGGCGATATAACTGGGATTCCAGCAGCTGTAACACAAAAATGAAGGCCTGTGAACAAATGTCACAGCAGTTTGAGAGGAAGGCCAGTCTTTCCCTGACTAACATGTCTGAGGATCCCCCCAGTCTGTGAACCCAAATTCAGTTTGTGAATTTTTGGAGCCTTTTAAAAGATGTCACTTGGATGCCTTGATGTAAGATTTGTGGGCCACCTCTATACAGATTCCTCTTTCCTCTTTCCTTGAAGACGACAGGGGACCTCCTGCCTGACCTCCTTCCACTTGGAAGACCCTCTCAAACGCACTGGGCTAGTAAACCCCAGCTCATAGTAAACCTCTGAAGGTCAGACTCCTATGAAAAGCTGTGCACTGCAGACAGCAGACCCGTTGGTATCTTTCAAACAAAATGACTGAACTCATTTGTTCCGTCTGGGACTGCATGAAGGCCACAGGTTACACCACAGTTTTGTTGACAGAAACAGAGGCTGTTTCACTCTTCAGCTCTGCTGTTCCACTCAAATTTCCTTCACTGTTGTAATCCACCACCTCACAGTCCTACAGTGTGTGTCCTGACAGACCATCACTGTGATTCACTGCACTGGAGCTGCGGTCTCAGCATCTACCAGCTTGTCACGGATACACTGATAATCAGATGCCTTCATTTCTCTCATCAGCTGCAGCTTTAGAATCGGAGCAGTAATTTCCTGTAAAGCGCAAAGAATTGCCTCATAGATCTTGTAATGATAGAGAAATTTGACTGCTATCCAACAGCTGGAACTGAAGAACAGCTGGAGCACCTCTGACCTGCAAAATACATTCTGCACAGGAATACAGTTCCCTGTGGACTTTGCTGTCATGCCCAAACCAGACACTCGATTATTTTGAACTTTAGGTGCCCCAGAGCTGTGAGACTTTGGCTCGACCTTATTGGAATGCTGTTTTGACCCAGAGTACTGACTGCGAACAGTATTAATTAATAAGTTCTGTAATGCATGACAAACACTTTGTGTAAAAGTGTAAAAGAAAGCCTTTATGAGTCCAGGTAATGCACTCTTCAGTTCCTAACAGTGCTGCAGACAAGGATACCCACTTCTGTTTCCTATGCAATATTACCTTATGCTGAAAATTAGTATGTTTATTGGTAGTTTCTCCATTTCAAGGTGGTGGCTTTTCACAGCCTGATTATCCCTAATCCCTTGTGAATAAAATCTGTGAAACTGTCCCAAGATGGTCTAATCTAGTGAATGATATGGAATAGTGGACAGTGTTTAAGCCTGCAAATCTGCAGAAGAAGCAAAACCACCTCACCCTTATCCAGCATTTTAAATGATCTCTTTCAACACTGTCTAACAGGAATCACCAACAAATCAGTAAAGGCCAACAACATTCAGCGGACACTTCTTTACACAAAGGGTGGTGGGAGTACCTAGAGTAGCCATCTTGCTGAAGCTGACAACATGGCGTCTTTCAAGAAACAGCTGCACGTGATCCTTGGAACCACCAGATATAAACATCCAAACAGGAACAGGCTGGATGGGCCAACTGGCCTCCTCGTTTGTAACCACTTAAATTCTTAACATTCAAACTTGTAAATAAGTGAAAATCCTGCTTTATCATAAACACACACACACAAAATGCTTCCCTATAACTAAAAGTCTAAAAATATCAAAGTCTCTGAGACTAGACACCGCTGGGAAACAAGAGACTTGAAGATGGGCAGGTAAGGATTGGGCACAATAACTGAACTAAGGGAGATGGTGAAATCAGAGCATCACAGCACACACACCCCAGTCACCTCTGTTCCAAATGAGCCTGTGCAATACAGAGCATACGCTCTCTTCTTAGTAATACAGTAATACTCGAACACCCAAAGAAGGCTCCACAGCAGCAACATCGTGTTTCCTTTCTTCTCTTTTCAGCATGGAATAAACCTTTTACTTGTTCCGATACAGTAATACTGCTTAGAAGAAACAAAGATGACAAGACTCATCTCCTTTGATGAGCTGACCTGTACAGTTTAGAGCACCTTTTAACAAACTGAACTCATTATATCAATGCCAAGCACTGATATTTTTTAGTTTTATATCTTAGACTGTTAATTACTGTAACACTATCCTCTCTCACACAGGGGGTCTCCTGACCCACAGCCTGGCCTGTAAGTTCGTAGAAACCTGTTGTGACAATTCCTCTAATTAAAAACGTTTTAACGGTTTTTTTCAACGGCAAAGACTACAATTTCAGCCAGAACTTCACGTCCAACATAACTAAACCGTCAATGGGCACAGCACGTCAAAAAATCACTTTTGGTATTTCTGCTAAATCAAATATTAAATTACTCCTTCACGTTGATAGTAAATAATTGCTTACTAGTTTGTACATCATTAAAAATCGAACTGCATTATTTAATTTGTACAAGCAACTGCGCAATGGGGCTTTTTGAGACTGTAATCTAGAGTATAATCGGGTCTAGCTTTCATGATCAAACACACTGAGAAAGTGACGCCTCTTCTTGTCCGTTCACAACATATGAACAACAGTACCAGTATGTACTGTATGTCCAGGAACACATTGTGGAAATAACCGCAAAGCGGTTCAAATAATGACTCACCTATCAAGTATTAGGAGCTACGCAGCGAAGAGTGTTGGGTGCAACTCGAAAGCGTACCTTCTAAATACTACCACGTGTTTCTACAGCTCTCCCAGTGCACTGACATCCTTTTCTCTCTCGTCTGTCACATTTCCCCAGAAACAATCGCAAAACATGAGAGCCTTAAAAACAGGTCTACTGTCCTCTGACTTGTCTAAACTGAAGCACCATCTGCAAAAAACTACAGACTGAAAGTTTAAAAGTTAAACGACTTAAACGCAATTTATTTTTAACACCCATAGAATACAGTACAAGGAGACATCTGAAGAAACATTTAACAGGCATTCCGATGATTGCTGAACATAAATAATAAAGGTTCGAAGTCCCCAACAGCTAATGTAAAATGCACAACCTGAATGAACCTCTAAAATAAATCCGTATAAAAGTGCAATTACCGGGCTCTGTGGAGTGGGGAAGTCGGGCAGCTGCGTTGTCCGGTACTCCGATCTGTGTGTCGTTTCTTTCAGTCCCTCCGGTGATCCCTAATCCCGGGTGTCGCTCCAGTCCAGACCCGCTGGGACTCCGGACCGTCCCCGACCGGGGAAGCGCGCCACTGATCAGTACGGCTCCATCCAGCAGGAGCAGACAGAGCCAGGAGCTCGCTAAAAATGGCACCACACACCGACAGCAGCTCATATTCGTAACGGTGATATATTAATGGGACTACACGCATCCCCGAGAGCCGGTGTCTGCTCTGGCCACACTCCCAGAGCAAAACAGCCGCGGCGCGCCTACAGTCCAGTCCGCCCCCCCGGAATATCAAGCGTGCAGAGAGAGAGAGCAGCAGGACCGGACCGCCTTCACGTCGCCGAGCCCGAAGGCGGGTTATCAGCTTGGTGCCTTTCCATGGCTAAGCATTATCCTTGGTGCGTACTGTATATCGTTCAAACCAAACGGAGGAATCTCCAACGAACCGATACCGAAATGCCTGGGAGGCGTGAGTACACAAGCCGAGGAATGTCCAGGAGTGAAGTCGCTGCGAGAGAAGAGAGAGGCAGGTGCTGCACAGGTACAGTACAGTACCTCTGCTCTGCTCTGCTCTGCTCTGCTCGCCAGCAGGAAACCGCAAAAAAGTCGGCAGCCCCTGCAGTCTGTTGTTCAGGGTCTGGTACCGTATGTCGGGCCGTTTCCTTTGAAAGTGTCTCTTCGCGCTGGGTTATTACAGTCCCGGAGTTTTATCCTTCAATCCTGGGTGAACTCTATGATCTCTGCGCAACCCGGGTGTGATGGGAAAGGCTGGCTTCTCGCTGGTTTATTGCGATGGTGTAATCCAGCTCCTCCGTAGAAACCCGTGAGGAGGGACTTCCTCCGACAAATTAACCGTTCATGATCCGGAGTAGTGCTGGCCGGCTGGGAGCGCACGGCTGACTCCGGCCAAGTTCAGTTTGTACAGGCGCAAGAGTTGCTTTCATTGCCTCTAAACTGTCATGTTTAGCTCTGCAATCACAGTCAGAACTTTTTTTTATAATTAAAATTCGCCTTAATGTGCCGAAGGGGTTAACACGTGCTTCCTTGTATAATCCGATACAGCGATCAGCTATTGTCTCGTCTCATCTCTAGGGATTTGATTAAGCTCAGTTTGTAATTCGAGGATCTACACTTCAGCGGTATTTAATGGACCGCTCTATTGTGGATTGTAAAGAAAACGGTGGTAATATTTGAATAAATAAGAGAAGACCCGGGTATGCGAGGAAAAACTCCACATATTAAAATTACCGTAATTCACAGTTTCTTATTTTTTTCTTATTTTATGTTGAACAGAAACAATTTGAGCCCCTAATGAATCGGAATTGATTGTTTCAGTAGTGTTCACTGGGAGAGAGGTTTTGAAATGTAAATGGGAAGAAGTACTGTACTTTTCGTGAGTATTTAACAGGTACAGTACAATAGTTAAATAATGGAAATGTATTCTTGACTTATTTGAGTTGCAACACTGGGCAGAGCTGTCAAATTTCGCTAAACTGGTTATCATTCAGATGGGGAAGCAGAGAGTGTGAGATTAGGGGTAATCAAGGTGTAAAAAAGCTTTGTCTTAAATTGAAATGGAGAAACTACCGATAAACGTCCAAATAGATACAGTACATCAGCCATCCATTTTCTAACCACTTCTTCCAATACAGGGTGGCTGGCATCTGGAGCCTATCTTGGCAAGTAACTGGCTCAAGGCAGGATAGACCATGGAAGGGACATACACAGACAGAGACACGCCTGTAACGAATAGTTCTTTCCGGACCCTATGCGGACGACACAATCCGAAATAGTGAGGAAACACTGGGGAAACGTCATGCAGGAATACGGGGCAGAAGACAAGGGGGCGTGTCCAAGGTGCGCTGGTGCACGGGGAAGGTGTGGCCGAGGCGAACAATCCAAAAGAGTAGTCCTTAGGGAATATCCAAAACACAAGGGTAAGTCCAAAACCAGAAGATCCATCAGAACAAAAAATTAAAAACCACGAAGGCCAGGTCGGAACCGTCGTACGGGGAACGGGAACAGAGGTTAAAACCTTAACGGGACCAGACACTTCCAGGTCCCGGACTCGCACGATATGGAAATCAGATGCAGAGCCCGGATGAGCGTCAGCGCCTGGCTTTTAAGGTAGGCTGGGAATCGGAAACAGGTGCACAGAATAAAGTCTTGAGTGAATGGGCTGGAGCACCCTTAAGGAGGGGGGACTATAATCGTGACAACGCCAGGACCCAGGAATCCAATTGACCTACCAATATTTTTTGGAGCATGAGAGGAAACTGGAGTACCAGGAGGAAACCCACATGAACATGCAAACTCCACACAAGTACACTAGGAACCCAGGTCAGGAATTGAACCCAGGGCCCAGTGCTGGTAGGCAGCAATGCTAACTACTGAGTCACTGTGACACCCTGTATACATCAACATAAGTTAATATTGCATAGGAACAGAACAGATGTGGGTATCCTTGTTTCAGATGCAATGCCTCTGAACCTGTGTAAGATCTTGTAAGTACTGTATTATGAAGTCTGCAGTACTTCACTTTAGGAACTGAAGAATGTCAGTACCTGGAGTGATAAGGGCTTCCTTTAAAATCCCCTGAGGATAGTTCAAGAATGTGTCAAAAAATACACTTCTTTTTATTGCAAAACAACTGGAAAAGATACTGATTGAGGCATTCGAGTGTTTGTCTTAGATTACAGAAAGAACAGGCATTGTGATGGTCACTTGCTGTACATGCCGTCCCTAGGCAGTACTGTAGATCACCACATCATTCAAAAAGGCTGGGCCAAAGTCCCACAGCCCCGCAGTACCTTGTGATGGAGCATCTGATCCACCAAAGTGTCCATGACCGCAAAGTCCCAAGCGAACTGTGCTCCTGTGAAGAACTTTAATGTCTCCTGCAAGTCGCAGGCGATCTGGCTCTTCGTCAGTTCCAGGGGATGGGTAGCAGTCACATTTCTCTGTCAGTTTCAGAACTACCAGACAACCCTAGTGCATTCTCCAAATGTCTACTGGAGCTCCACAGCTGCACCTGATGAGTGAAACGAAGGCATCTGTGTATCAGTGACAAGCTGCTAGACCTTGGGGCTGGAGCTCCAGTGCAGTGAGTCATTCAAGAGTCACAGTAATCATCTGCACTGCACAGTACAGTCAAGACACCCACTGTAGGACCCCGAGCCAGATGATTACAATAGTGTTACACAGAAACATATAATCTGATCATGTTTATATATATTATATAGCTAATAGATATAGATATAAATATGGAGATAGATGTACAGTTTATATACAATAGATAATCCTATATCGCTGGCACGCTCAGGCAGTGAGGGGATGTCATAGACCAGAGAGATGCATTGCTCCAGGCTTTTCTGGTTACTACTGCTTGGTGGTCAGATTAACACCGGGGAAGTGGACCATCCTTTGCCTCACTCAGCAGAGCTCACACAGGAAGAAGCCTTCCAGAAAGTTTGGTGCCAGCAGTTGGTGCCATACGTTCCCCACTGGGCGTTTGGCAGGAAGACACCCTGGGGCCGGAGTGCCTAAGCCCTGAGCTGTTAGATCGGTGTGTACAGGAGGAACCGGACGCTTCCCCTGCAGCCCCAGGGCCTCGCCCTCCCTGGGGGGCCTGAAGCAGAGAGTGGAGGAGGGAGTGGCAGGACGTTCTTCAGGATGTGGAGTAGCTCAGGCCTGTAGTCAGGTCCTCCTTTTAACTTACTGTAGGCTTAACCCCCGTGGAAATAGTTAAGGCCACTAAAGTTCAGTTCTCCTTATAAAGGTGTCCTGGAGTCTGTTTTGGCAACCTCACGCTATAATATGTTACGTCTGTAATTCCCATGCACAATTGTGACAATTTCAATAAGTAAAGTCAAATTTTCCACTGTGAAATCTGACTTTTAAAAGTCAGATAAGTCTGTGTAATGAACTCTGCCTTTTCCAGACAGACGTTTCATCAGATTTGCATGGAACATGCTTGTACTTAAAGCACCAGTCTGCAGTAAGGAAGCAGCCCTTCTTACTCATTGTTACAAAAAGGACTCAAGGATTCAATACAATTGAAGGGAACTAAAACAAACACCATACAAAACACACTACACAAATACTCGTATCACTTCCATGCACACACACCACACAAATATTCATACAACTGCACATACCTCTCCTCAATACATACAGTGTGGTGAAAATGTATACACCCCCTTAAGACTTTCTGGTTTAATATATTTATATTTGACCTTCACCTAGTCCTCACTAAGTTGTGATAGTAAATAAAACTTATTTGAAAAATAATACACAAAAAACAAATGTCTTCATCTTCAATCATAAAATCTGGATGTATTTTTGTACTACACCAGTGCCACACAAAACACTACAGAAATACTTACACCACTCTCACAAAACCCTAATTCTACACAAGCATTGCTACCGCACAGGCACACACCACACTGATAGCACACTCTATTACTAACGGTAGTCTCAGACTACAGCCCTGTGGACAACACATTGTACGAGATCCAATCTGTGTTAGAAGACAGGACACAGCAGTGGAGTCCAACATGTCTTTAATATATATAAATCTTTGAAGTCTCAAGGAAATCCTGTCTGTGTTCCTGACTCTCTGCTAGTGCTTGTGTATCACAAATCCTTGTGTTTTCTTTTTGCGTGTTTCTGTCCTTTCTGTTTCTCTGTGTGTGTTCCAGTTCTGAGTGTACTGTACGTTCCTCTGGGTGTGTTTAAAACATCTGTCCCAGTGTGCATTTGTCAGTCAGGGTGCTCGTTTCACGCTGATTCGTGTCGGTGTGTGTGCTAATGCTAGTCGCTGTGTGTGATCACGTTTGGCTCTCTCTGTCATGTGTTACTGCAAGGGTCTGCTACACTTTGACCTGGAGATCAAATACATCGAATACCGGGGTTGCTGGTATTAGAAATTCCAAATTGTCAAGGATTAAAGAAAAGGAAATTGGGCCAATTGAGTCGCTAATTGATTTAATTAATTACATTGTTCCTGGACAGCCCCAGTCCTTTAAGTAGTATTGCAGTAGTTGCACAAACCTTGATTACGCTAATCATGGATTGCCACGATTGTAACATTGTAATCTAATCTTAATTTAGCTATGCAAATCCAGGATTTGTGTGTGGTATGCAAAACCAGTCCAAACGGTCTGTACTTAAGGGCTAAATCACTGTTTTACTGGGAGCCCCAGGCCTTTTAACTGTAAAGAAATATCATGGTCCTTATCTAGCTGGGGCACTGAACTCTTGAGCACATAGGTCTATTTAAAATGTTGACAGGTGAAAACCTTTGGATGTGACCCCGTTCAGCTTTAATTAGGTCAATTAACTAAAGTTCAGTTCTCCATCACCACCATCACTGGATAATCCCCATGGGTTATTATCTGGTCATTTTAAACAGACCTAAAATATCTGCACTGTATTCCTCAAGGATCATGACAACAATGACAGTGCCAATGAGGCCTTTGTTTATTCTGGGTATCTGGTGTCTATCACTGTCACTCTCTCCAGAGGTGCATGTCATTGTGTGTGTGTACAGTATGTCACGTTGTCTATGTTTGTATGAGTATCTGGTGTCTGTGTCATGTGACTCTCTCCAGAGGTGCATGTCATTGTGTGTGTGTAGTGTATGTCACTTTGTCTATGTGTGTATGAGTATCTGGTGTCTGTGTCATGTGACTCTCTCCAGAGGTGTGTGTATACAGTTTGTCTACGTGTATATGAGTATGTACTCTGTGTCACTGTTACTGACTCTGAAGGTGTGCTGGGACAGGAGTGTAGGTCAGTGTGTGAGTATGTCGCTGTGTTTATGTCTGTCTACTCTGCATATCTGGTCTCTGCGTCACTGTTGCTCTCTCCGGACATGTGCTGGGACAGGGCTGTGCAGGCAAAACAGAACTGCCCCAGGTCCCTCCAGCACTGGAGGCAGTAGACAGCACCGCAGCTCTGGAGAGGACACACCACACCTCCCTCTCTCTGCGGCTCCCCACACACACAGCACCCCCTGCGCTGACACCCCAGCCTGCCGCACAGAGAGGAGAGCACCGCGCTCACCTGGAGAGAGAGGGGAGATGAAGGAAACAAGGGAAAGAAATGACACAATTGTTACTATTACTGCTCCATACTCACACACGCTGATACACTGCAGCTCTGTCCCAGAACCCCCCACCTCCCTGACATGTTCAATCACTGTCAGTCCAAACTGCTTGCCCAGTTTGCTGAGGGACTGGTCATAGTTCTACCCACTTCTGTTCAGTAGAAGTAAAGTAGGGTCCTCATCTCTGGACCTCAGGGACCACAGTCCAGCTGGTAAGACGTTTTAACCAGAGTGGTAGACATTAAGATGAACAGTCCAGCAGATTTCCTAGCTCTCTATGCAGCCTCAGTTGTTAAAGACTTGGGGAATAAAAAGCAGGAAAATAATCCAGAATCTTGAATCCAGAGTTTTGACATCACTGGCCTGACTGATCATCCAGAGAGAAAGAACTGGGAACTGCTTGTGACTCCTTAGAGACAGAATTAGTGGTTCCTAAAATGATCCTTCCAAAAGATAGAGAGAACTGTGAGTTTCCTGACTGGCAGCCCCTCAACAGCCACAGTGGGGTTTTGGGGACTCCTGTACTCATCAGTGCTTTCTAGATGTTAAATAAACTCATTACCCATTCAGACATTTGTGTTTTTCCAGGAGGAATCTGATTGATCTGAGAACCCTGCAGTGCTTAGGATCTCCAGAACAAGACTAGGCACCACTGCTTCAGCACAGCACACTGCTAATAGGGCTTCCCAAACACTCCCCTTTATCTTCTGTTTTTTGATCAATCAACACTTTGATTTAACTAAGAATTTGCTTTTTTTATCTTCAAGTATGAAACACGTGTTGATTTCAAGTTGCCTATACAATTTTAAGAGTAATCTGACACTTTATAGAGAGCTGTAAACAGTTCAAAACCGGGAAGACTTTTAATCCACATAAGGCTTCACGTACACTCAGGTAGACTAGAAACTGGAGCCCCGAGGGACCAGGATTGCCAGGATCTGTTCTGCAGTGAAAATCCAGGGAAAAGGGATTCATGTGTCTAGCTGGAATGAGCGCTGTGGCCCCTGCTCTGGCCTGCACCCAGGAAGGATAGGGCACTCACCCTGCCCGCGGCCTGGCCGGCCCTCGCCTGTCTGATCAGCCTCTGGCGCTGCGTTTGCACGTAGGACATCCGCCTGCGCAGCTGCTCGTTGTACAGGAAGAGCACGCGCTGCTTCTCCCGCTGCAGTCGGAGAGAGACAGACACGAGAGACACTTCCTCACCCTTTCAACCAGCTATGCAAAGGCAGACGTTAATAAATAATCCTCACACTTATACAGTATAGTGCCTTTCTGGACACTCCACTCAAAGTGCTTTACAGGTAATGGGGATCCCTTCCATCACCACCAATGATCAGCCCTACCTGGATGCTGATGATATCATTATTATTATTATTATAAATAATAATAATTCCTTACTCTTATATAGCATTTTTCTGGACACTTCACTCCAAGCAATTTACAGGTAATGGGGATTCCCCTCCACCACCACCAACGTGCAGCCCCACCTGGGGGATGTGACAGCAGCCATAACGCGCCAGAATCCTCACCACACATCAGTTCTCAGTAGGGAGGAGAACAGAGTGATGAAGCCAATTAACAGATGAGGATTATTAGGAGGCCATGGTTGGTAAAGGCCAATGGGAAATTGGGCCAGGACATTGGGGAAACACCCCTACTCTTTTCGAGAAACACCCTGGGATTTTTAATGACCACAGAGAGTCAGGACCTCAGTTTAACGTCTCATCTGAAGGACAACACATTTTTTACAGTATAGCGTCCCCATCACTACACTGGGGCATTAGGATCCACACAGATGGCAGGGTGAGCGCCCCCTGCTGTCCCCACTAACACTGCTTCCAGCAGCAACCTTACATCCGGGTACTGACCAGGCTCATACCTCCTGAGCTTCAGTGGGCTGCCAGTTGTGAGTTGCAGGGTGATATAGCTGCCTGCAAGTTTTAAAAATATGCTCAGCAGGTGTAGGAAATAACCCACATTTCAGACAAGACACTGAATCATGACATAAATGAATGCAAGGCATTAATTCTCAGGGACAGCTTTACTTCAATGTTCCTTCAAGCATTCTGACAACCCCGTGGGCACATGGGGGTTACAAACTTTAGCACAATACAACATCTCTAATGTGATTAGAATAATCGGACCTTGCTCAGCTGTGCTGGGTTGGGCAATGTGGGGGGAAAATGTCTTCTTATGGGATTAATAGGTGTTAGATTTGTGCTGCGCAGCGCAGAACTCTTTGGGGCTGGATGAGTGCTGATCCCCAGAAAGCAATCCGAACACTACACTAAAAAAAACCAGGAAGAATTCCAGCTAGTTAGTTTTGCAGATGATGCAACAATAGAGGGAGTGGTAGAAACACAGGCCAGGGAATTGCGGGGGGATTTGGAGAAGCTCACGGAGGGGGCCGCTGCTTGGCCAACGAAATCTGACGTTGAGGAGTGTGAGCACTCCCCACTGGGAGTGGGAACGCACACTCCACACGTTGCAGGGGTGACCGGAAGCTGTAGGAAGTGGGTGTTTGTGTAGCGTCTTCTATATCCTTATCAAGACAATGTGGGGAAGCAATAAAAGTGCAAATGGAATTCTTGGGTACAGAGCAAAAAGCGCTGAGTTCAAAGAAGATCTGAGAGCGGGAATTATTTTTGTCGCTCTTAGGGGATTGTTTTCAGTTTAAAACAATGACTAAGAGGAAAACAGATCAAGCATAAACAAATGTGGGTGTCTGGAATAGGTTTCCCAGCCAAAATGTTGAAGCCTAAACTCTGGGCTCCTTCATGAAGCAGCTGGACAGGCTCAATGGTCTGCTCTTCTTGTCACTTTTCCTATTTTGTTCTAATGCGACCCATAATCCGGGGAGGGTAGGGGGGTGACATCACTTTCTATGAAGGGCTCAATGCCAGATGAGCTCTGCTCTCTTCTCCTACTGTACATCAAACTCCTCCTCAGAGTACTCAGGGACTTATTGGCAGAAGCTTGTAATCTGGGCCACAGCACTTGCGTGATGCAGTTGCTGCATGTCGTTCTGCTTCCACTGGGATTGGGTCCTGGCCATTAATGGGCATCTCTGGTTTAAGGGCCACAAACAGTTAATCCTCAAAAACAGGAGGATTATACTCCACAAAAAAAGCCAGGATCCTGATTGTGGAAGAATTCAACACTACCCAGGTTCCAAGAGGGTGATGTCACCTTTCGTGCCAGGGTTAGTGCCAGATGAGACTCGTTACAGATGCAGCAAACGTGTTAAAGTTGAACTGTGCCTCTGGGGCAGACGGTTCTGTTCCAAACTGGTGGCTGCAGCCAGAACAAAGTGGCTACAGCCACCGTAGACATTGCCACCTGAAATCTCTAACTCCAACCCATGCTTGTAAGACTCGGCCCATCAGCCAACTGTGAAATCAAAACCAAGCACATGGTGGCAGACTGTCATGAAGAAAGACGCCAGAAAACACTGAGTGAATGACCTTGTATTTCCAGATTACATACAAAAGCACCTCTTACTCGCAGCTAAATTATTAAGGACAAAATATTTATGAAACCGTTGAGGTTCATCAGCCCATCTACAGTAGATCACTTGGTTTTTAGTAACTAATTGATCATAGAAACTCATCTAGCCATTTCCTAAAAGAACATAAGGTATTAGTTGCAAGTGTAGCTTGTTCTATACCCTTTGCATGAAAATGTCCCTCCTGTTCTGTTTCAGATGTATTTTCCAACACTTTTCAGCTTCCATTGAGTGCACTGAGTTGATATTGTGAATGCATTTAAGGTAACTGAATTACTGGTTCACAAATCCCTTGGAATCTTGCAGCCCTGCAGATGATCCCTGGTTTCAATTCTAATTACTCTTGTTTTGCAGCCTTGCCTGGAAACTCAGTAAGGTTTTCTGATCTATAATTACATGGTTAAAGTCAAACCCTCCTTTGAAAATGTCTTCCTCCTTTATACATACATTTCTCATTTCATTATATTGACCTGCATTTGTAATTCAGTTAAAAAATATTCTGAAAGAGATCCCTGTAGGTTACATTGCTACAGTATAGCGGAAAGTTTTTTTTAAAGCATAATGCTTCATCTCCATCTTTTCCACGTTTCCTGCACCTTTGGAATGCACAGCCATCATCACTGTGTGTAATAACACGTACTGTACAATACCACAGCTGTGGTGACTGCGGTTGTCTCTGCTACAGAACAACTACGACTATTGCAGATATCAATTCTACTGTACCTGTCCTAGATCCTACAGCTACTATTTCTGTATTACAACTGTAATAGTAAGATTAGCACTAATAGTATTACTACTGTACCTCTATTCCTCCACGGCTATGACTGCTAATACAAAATACTTCCTACTCCTAGTAGCGAAGAAGACGCCCATCACCATCATCTTCTGTGCTTACTGAGTTGCGGTGAAGGAGTCACACATTTACAGTATGTGGAAGGGAAAGGGCAGGAAAATAGACTGTAGTTGATAGCAGCACGTGCTTCTCTTGCTCAGCAGGCAGAACAGGACCAGGGTGTGCAGTTTCCCACTCTTCAGTATTGGAGTAGGCAGTCCAAAGAGAAATATCTCAGCTTCTCGCCACCGCCTAGCTTATACACTAGCTCAAGTACTTAACGAAACCATATGAAATTACTGCAAAAATTAGAAAAAACGTCTTTATTTCAGTCTCATAAATTCACATTTTTCCCTGTTTCACAATTTCCTGCTCCCCCTTCAGAACCACCAGTATGGAGGCTCATTCAAAATGACTGAACACTCATAAGAGTCATACTGTATATACAGTACCTACATGTATAAGCCTTACTTTCAGCTCACACCTATATAATACAATATTATCTCAATACAGAGTATATCTCAAAACTTACAATCACATAGTAGAGGTTCTACTTGCTTTAGTAGGTGTAATACCAATGACGTTCAAGCAGGTACTGTAGCTGCGTCAGCATGCGTAGTCTGCTAAGGAACAAGTAAAGGTTTATTCCAGGCTGACAAGAGAAGAAAAGAAAACGTTTCAGCTGTGGAGCCTTCATCAGCCAGAAAAAACATTTACTTGTTCCTTTCTAAAACTGATGACACCTTACTTCATGATTAGTACTTGAGATGGTCTATTATACTGCGACTGTAATGTAATTTTGTTCGACATTTATAAATGAAGAATGTTGTGACTATATGATTTCAGTAA